AAATATAAACTATAATGTAGTAAACATTCAACAGATGTTACTGGGTTCCATTTATAAATAGGTCAGAAATGAACAAAAACAGACATTGTCCCTGTGTTCTAGACCAGCGGTCGCCAACCAGTAGTTTGTGGACCACTGGTGGTCCGTGAGGTCCGAAAGGTTGGCGACTGCTGTTCTAGACAATGGGCAGGCAGTGTGAAGGCCTGTGGTGGAAGGGACATGTTGCATTCATGGGATTAATAGTGCGCCCACTGGCCTGAATACAGGGAAGGGGGAGAGAGGTGGCCTTGTAGGCTACGTTAAAGCTGTCAGCCTTTAAAAGAAGAGAGAAGGACTGAGCTGAGAGGAGTTGCATGAGTAGTACCTTAAAGAGGCCAGTCTGGCTACAGTGGGCGAGTGTGGAGGGGATGCAGTGTGATGTGGATTAGGAGGCTGTTGCAATGTTCCAGGTGAGAGGTGGTGGCTCAGAGGGGAATGTCAGTGGGAATGCAGAAGTGGGAGGGTTTGAAATATTTTGGAGATAAAATCAAGTGGCTTATAATTTGGTGTTTGGAAGTATTCTGAGATTCTGCTTCAGCAGCTTCATGGGTTATAGGCCCACTCCCTGACACTGGGGTCACTGGAAGAGAGAAATTTGACTTCACTCTTGAACATACTGTGTTGAAGTGCCCTTGAAGGATCCAAATTGGAATGTTGTACCGACAATGAGATACATGGGTCTCGACTCAAAAGGAGCGGTTAGGAGAGAAGTGTTGGGATAGTTAACGTCAGGGGCTTGTGGATGTGGGTGAGATGGTTCAGGGAAGTGGTCTCATCATATACTGCACATTGGAATCTCTTGAGTGTTGAAGAAATAACCCCTCCCCCAGATTCGCCTTAATTGGGTGTTGGGCTTCTAGAAGCCCCCCAGGTAGTACTGATGTGCAGCCAAGACAGACCCACTCCTGGAGAACATGAGCTGAGATTAGGAGAGGGGCTAGGACTGAGCCTGGAGGCACACAAGCAGAGGCCAGTTAGGGGAGGATGAACCTGCCAAGAGACTGTTCTGCTGCCAGAGAGGTGGCAGGGAATCTCTGTGCTTTCAAGGAGATAAGTGTGGCCAGCAGTGCCTGTTGCTGCTGAGAATTTGGATTTAGGAATGTGGACGTGGTTTAGTTACCGGAGCGGGAGGTGGTAGTTGGAAGCTTGGAGCAGAAGCGGGGTTAGAGCAGATTGAAAAATGAGAGGGAGGAATTGGAGACAGCATAGGCAGCTGTTGGAGGTATTTGGGGAGAGGCAGTGAGGAGCAGAAAAGGTGTGCAATTGTATTAGGATGTTTTGGCAAAAAATAACAGAAAACTCCGACTCAACTGGTTTAAATGGTGAAGAAAAGTTACCTTATTCAGAGTTCCAGAAGAGGGAGTTCCAACAGTGTCATCAGAGACCGAGGCTTTTCCCAGCCCACTGTGTGACCTGGACCTCCGACTGCCATCGCAGGATGTCAGATGCTACTGTAATTCAGACATCAAACCAGATAGTACAGTCTCCAGCAGAAGAATAATGCCGACGTAGTCTTTAAAAAAAATACACATACTGAAAAGTGTACAATTCCTAAGTGTATAGGTTGTATTTGCAGAAACCAAACAACCGTAACTAGTGCCCAGATCACCACCTCAATACCCAGAAGCCCCCTTGCTCCTACTCACTACCCACCACCTCCTCCAGGATAACTGCTATTCTGACTTCCAGAACCATTGGTTATTTTTGCTTGTTTTTGTGCAATATAAACAATCATAGTACGTATATAGTATGTGCTCTTTTATGTTTGGCTTTCAACATTGTTTTTGAGATCCATATTGTAGCATGTAAAGTTGTAAAGTGTTCATCTATTGCATGAATATACCACATTTTATCCATTCTGTTGTTGATGGGCATTTGGGTCTTATAGGTGGTGTCATTGTGAACATATGTACTCATTTCTGTTGAGTGTATAATTAGGGGCAGGGTATCCTTATATTTAGCTTTAGTACAAAATTTCCAATGTGGTTGTGTGATTTTACACTTCTACCAGCAGCATATGAGAGTTTCAATTCCATGTCTTTGCTAATACTATTTTGTGTCATTCCATTTGGACATTCTGGTGGGTGTGTAATGATGTAGTGCTGTGATTTTAGTTTGCATTTCCTTAAGTTGGTTAATGATATTTAAGTTGAGCATCTTTCCATTTGCTTATTGACTATTTGGATTTTCTCTTTTGTGAAATGCCTGTTTGGATTTTGAGTTGAATGTCTTATTAGTAGTTTATTTTTTTAAAATTTTGGATATGAGTCATTGTCAGATATTTAAATTACAAATATTTTCTCTCTGGCTTGCCTTTTTACTCTTGTTTTCTTTTCACAAACAGAAGTTACTAATTTTAATATAGTAAGTTAGCCAGTTGTTTCCTTTATGGTAAGCATTTTTGTGATTTGTTTTTAATCTCTGCTAGCACACATGTCACCAGAATGTTCTGTTTCTAATAAAATCTCGACTGTTTAACTTTGGAATTTAGATTTATAGTCCATCCGCAGGTGGTTTCTGTATGTAGTGTGAGATGGGGTTCATATGTGAATGTCCCGTTGACACAACACCGTTTCTTAAGAGTACCTTTTCTCCATGTCTTGTGATGTTACCTTTGTCATATAGATCAGGTGACTATGTAGGTAAGGGTCTGTTTCTGATTTCTATATCCCATTCTGTTGATCATCAGTGCATCTATCTTTAGATAGCATTTTCTTTAAAAAAATATATAGCCTTTTAGTGGGTATTGTTATGTGGTAATATGTTACCTTGTTTTTTCCTTGTAATCTCTTTTTAAGAGTGATGATTTCCCTCAGGTCTCATTGGCCAACACTGAGTCACATGACTACCCCTAAGCCAATCAGTGGAAAGGAGAGCAGCTGTTGCCATGATTTGCTTTAACTAATTAGGACTTGCCTCTGAATCTTTTTTTTTTTTT